GCCGCACGGTGCCACCAGCCGGCGATCGGCTTCCTCTCCAAAGCAAATTCGACACGTGCCTGGGAAAAACTGATCGGCCGCTCCAGCCTCTACCGCTTCAGCCTCCATCTCGACTGGCTCTGGCGCCTCGGCAGAAGACTCCATTCGCGCGCGCGATCAAGGCGGCGGCGCTCCGCCGTCAGTGAGCGCGGGACTCTCGTGCGCCGGGTTTGGGACAAGCGCTGGGAGGGTATGGTGACCGAGCTACCGCCTGACGCATACCCTCCTGCCTGCGCGCCAGAGACGCTTGCCACGGCAGCACTTCCGTATTAGGTAACTTCGAGCTGCCCGACCATACCCACCTACATTTTGCCGGCATTGACACCCTACCCTACCTAGCACGTGTCCCAAATCCCGAGGGTCGAGGACGCCACGTGTCTAGCTCTTGCATGCAGTCGATATCGACCGAGCCTCCCCGCAGCCGAGCTGTCGGCAGCCACGCCTCACCTGCTGCAAACCGACAAGGGCTGCCACGTGTCACGAGTCGGCGCGCCGCCTCGGCCGCCGATGTGGCTCGCTGCGCCGACCCTCGCGCGCGCGACACCAATGCTCTCCTGCACTACCGCGCCCGCCGTGCCGTTTGTCCTCCGCCCGCCCCCGCCGTCCGAGATGTCCTGCCTGCCGTCTGCTTCCGCCGCGCTGCCTTACCGTCGACCCTTACCGTGCCGCACCGCCTTCACACACACACCTTACTTTCTGCTCGACCGAGTTTGCGCTGATGAGCGAACCGAGCCGCCGGGTGCCCCGCAGCGGCCTCGCTGGGCCAGAACATCGGCCCCGAGTGCTCCGCAGCAGCCTCGCTGGGCCAGAACGTCGGCCCGCGAGGTGGGGTGCTAGTCTGGGACCCATACGTGGCGGTTCCCTTGCTCCAAGCGCTTGCGCTTCGGCGGTAGTGATCTAATCACCCGAATACCACGTTCGGATCGCTCCTCATCGCAAACCCTGTCAGCAGTTCACCTACGGGTATGTTCGTAAGAGCTACATACACTGAAAAAGAGGCAAGGCAAGCATGTGGGTCCTGCTTGCTAGTGCCCGCGCATAAACAGCTGCGGGGGCTAGCGAATCACATTCTCCATGGCATGTGCACATCTTTCACCCTGGCGCGCCATGTGCGCGCCGCCATTTTCACCACCGCCGCCGTCGCCGCCCTCGCCTCACGACGTGACCTTAAAGAACTTGTCGAAGCTGCGCAGGCCAGCCAGTCGTCGTCCCGGGAGCAAAAACTTTCCGACCGACTACTTGGTTGTCTCGCCGACGGAGCGTGACGTTTTCAAGGTCGTTCACGACTGCCATGCTAGTAGCAAGCAGCGATGGATCGATCATGACGGCTGGCTGTGGCGCCTGCATCTGGAGCTGCACTTGCTGGCCTGCGGCGGCGTTGTCGTGCCTTTGCCGGTTCTTCCTTTTCGCCTCTGGCCGCTTGATCTCCTCTTGCGGCACATCGCATTTCTGTCTTCTGTGTACGCGGTACGAGTACGCTCACATGCACACAATTTCACACGACTGCTTTCAAAGGCGTGTACAGCTTTACCAGGAGCCAGTCTTTTTTTGTGAATGGACCGGCGGATAGATGACGCTCGTGCACACCTAGCACGTCACGAGGCATCTGCGCGCAAGGGACCGAGGCCGTCCTTCTTGTACTTTCGGAGAGCGGCACGGGCACTCTTGCACTCTTGCTTGTGTGCTGGCCAGTGGGCAGCCTGATGCTCGACACAGCAGTACCGTGCTTGGTTGCAAGCTGCGCAAAGCTTAAGATTGTCGGAGGCGCCACAAAACGCACACGCGTTTGGTACAGCACGCAGCAAGCCTATACAATCGAGAAGCTTAGAGGCAGCCTCGTCAACAGGCTCGCCAACGGCAGGTGTGGGGTTTTTCACTGCGGCTTTTGCTCTAGCTTTGGCAGTTCGAGCAGGGCTTTGGCCATCAAAATCTCTGGCGTGCGCGTTGCCGCCAGCTGCGATCAGCCTTGCTAAGATCTCTGGGTGCCCAGCGACGTTGACCCCACCGCCGCTAGCTCGGTGCACGGCAGTCTGACCATGATTATCGCGCCGGTTGATGTCGACGCCCGCTGCTATTAGCATGTCCACGCATACGAGATATGAAGCTCCTTTATGTTTCTGGACCATTGCTCCACTGATGACCTCCATGAGGGGCGTCGTGCCAGTGTTAGAGCGCGGCAGTTCTGGCGAGGCGCCCGCATGCAGCAATAATCTGACACATTCTTCATTACCGCGCGCGCATGCCCCTAGAAGCGCGGTGCCAGGTTGCTGAAAGGTGTTTGTCGCCGGGTCGGTCAGATCGGGATCAGCCTTGCGTGCCAGCAAGAGTTTGACCAAGTCAGTATGGCCTGCTGTTGCGGCGGCCATGAGCGGCGTATAGGTAAATTTTGAGAGCTCTCTCCACGTCAACTCAACGTCCTCGGAGTCAGGAATCTTGCCGCCGCCAAGGCTCGTGCCATTCGCCCAATCGCAAAGGCAATTGACATCGACCCGACGGTTGATCATCCTCGTAGCCGTATACGCGTTGCCCTGAAAGGCTGCCTGGATTAACAGACGTGCTTGCTTGGTTGCAGCCGCCTCAGCAGCTGTCTGTTTGGATCCGGGCAACGGGTGCGCACGCGGCAGAGCCGGGCTCACGGGAGTAAGTTCTTCGACAGGCGATTTGCCAGCCTGCTTGGCGATCTTGGAGCAGGCCCTTCTCGTCGCGCTCAGGCTGAGCTGTTCCCATTCTGGTTGTTTGCTGAGCACGGCGTGCTTATCTCGAGCGCTCATGTCTCGAGGAAGGCTCTCCAGCGCCTCGCGCAGACGACGGTCATTGAGCAGCACGGCGGCGGTGAGGTCCTCCGGCTCGGCCTCCAGCTCGGCCTCCGGCTCTGCCGGTATCTCAGACCTGGAAGACGATGCTCCAGCTCCCGGCCCGTCGTCAGCATCGGTCATCCGAGTCCCGACAGCATCGTCACGCCAAAAGAATTTTCCCACGGACTCCCTCGCACAACACTGGGCACGGGACTGGCGCGCACTGGCACTAACACAGGTACACCACGGGAGCCGCCTAAGCGACTCCTGCGAGGGTGGCGAGGCACTTAGGTCCGTGCACCCGCCCACCCCCGCCACAGGCAAGCTCATTCACGACCTGCTCTGCGATTGCCGTGTGAAGAACGACTGAGATGCGCTGCTTCTGCAGCCCCAGCCAGCTCTTGGTGGTCCAAGTCACCTCGCCGAAAGAAATTCGTGCAGGAAGCTCGAGGCAGCTCCCGACGAGCTCGGTGACCACGACTCGGTGACCACGACAGCGCGCGCTGACCGTCACCAAACCACAGGTAAGCCGTTACGCCATCCAGCGCGGCGCCCGCGATGCAGCTCACGTCGGGCGCGTCGCACCAGCCTTCACCCCCGCCTGTTACATACTTTTCCGGCAAACAAAAAGGAAAACAGAGGGTCCCCAGCACTTTGCGTTTCCGGAAATTTCCAGGGAAAACAGAGGGTGTTTGGTGCTCCATTCTGGAAACTCGCGAGTTTCCCTGAGTCCATTGAAGAGGGGTTCAACTATCAAAACAGGAATCGAGGGTGTCAGCTTGCATGCTGCCATCTGTCCCGATCGTGACCAACCAAAGCCCCCCCTCTTCGTAGACCCCGTTCTGAGGGGTCCTGAATCGTACACCGCTCCCAGCCGTGCTCGCCAAGCATCAGCCACTGTGGAATGGGTGGCACGGCGCCGCAGAAGGTGCTGGGACTGCCATGCAGAAATGCTGCCATGTGCAGTGCGCGGCGGCTTGGAGCTCGCCTCGGGCGGTTCCCACAAGTCCGTGCGGAGGTCCTGGCGGCCAGCAAGTCGCAGAGCACGCCGCGCAGCGCAGAGCGCGCCCCGGCGCCGAATAAGTATATAAGATTTTCTGCACCGACGTGGAATTTTATTGACAGCAACAGGTAGTCGGCGAGGGCGACGGGGGCAAGCAAGGCGGTGGTGACGGCGGCGGCGAGGGCGGCGGCGCGGGGGTGGCGACGGCTAGTGTGGCAGCGGCGAGGATGGCGGCCCGGCGACTCTCGCATCGCCACCCACGCGCCACCACCGTCACCCACGCCGCGGCCACCGTAGTCACCACCGCTCACCACCGGCTTTGCATCCCCCAGGACGCCTTCCCTCTGCGCGCGATAGAGCAACCGTTTAAGCCTGTCTGGTATAGCCCCAGCCGACTCCGCGTGAACTCTCGAGGGATCTCGAGCCAGCTGCTCGGTGTACGAACTCTGTTCACACCGAGCAGCTGGGAGTGGCTGCGGCTATAGCAGACAGCGTTTAAGCCAGAGAGCGCGATTTTTATGCTTGGGGTTCGTCTACACTCACCGAGACCCGCCAGGCCGCACCTCAGACACAGCTGAGTTGAGTCTCCCCAATCGCCACTGTCTCACAATTACGTCTCAGGTTGGCTCAGCATGGTCTCTAACGGACCTGAGACGACTCAAAAATCTCAATCTAGCAGCGGCTTGTGCACCCCCCGCCCCCTGCGCCACGTCTCATTGTGGCTCAGCACTGTCTCAGACGGAAGTGAGACGACTCACTTCGCTCAGGAATTGTGACGTCTCAGCCCAGCCGTGAGACTGAGTGATACACTCTAACCCGTAACCGAAAGAGACGAACGGTGAGACGCATCTGAGAGACTGAGACGCACCTGGTGCGACACTACTGTGACAGCTCAGAGAGACGCTTGGAACGACGCAGAGAGACGGAAAAAATCATGCAGCAAACATGCAAGTGAGACAGGGACGAAACACCCCCGTGAGACAGAGAGACTCCCTCTGGGCATTGTACGGAAGGTGACGGCCTACGGCGGGACACACGTGCCGCATCGAGAGACGTACATGTACAGGGCCGCGTCGCAGCATTTTCAGGCGGCGCGAACAAACAGACTACGAACCGCGCAGGGCCAAGGGCGAGGTGGAGATGCTCCTCCCCTCCCCCTCTCTCTAGGAGAGCGCCGGCTCGACGCTCGCGGCCCAGCACGCGAGGTCAAAGGGGTAGGACCCGCCGAGCTCCTCGGTCAGGCTCGCCGGCTCAAACTGCCGGTACAGCGGCTCCCTGTCGGCGCCGTTGAGGACGACCAGCCGCGCCCTCAGCTTGGCGCTGAGCAGCATCCGCACGATGGGCAGCAGGATGCGGCCGACGAACCAGGGCGGGTTGTACACACACAGCTTGCCCAGCCGCACCGGCAGCCGCGGGAAGACCTGGCCGAACATCAGCTTGGCGGTGGGCGGGCTGATGTTCTTCATCCGGAGGCCCGTCATGTCCTGCAGCACCGCGACCCCGCACCGCGCCGTGTCCGCGTCGCGCAGTGCGTGCAACATCACCGTCGCGGCCGCCCGCGCGAAATCTTTGGGTGAGCTCACCTTGGGGTCGTGGAAGCGGAAGCGGAGCCACAGGATCTTGCGCCCGGCGCCGTCCGTGGCGCCCGTCATCACAAACTTGCCGCTCGCCAGGTCGGCGGCGAGCCGCGGGGTCGGCGTCGCGAGGTCGAGCTCCTCAATCAGCGCGAGCAGCTCGGGCAGGAGGGCGGCGGCCCGAGCGGCGTCGTACTTGCGGCCTCGCAGACACATGAGCTTCAGGTCTGCGCTCGCAGCCTTGGACGGCGAGCCGTCTGCGAGAAGGTCCTCCATCGCGGCCAGCGCCGCCTGCTCGTCTGCCGAGCCAGCCTCGATTTTCGGCGGAGCCTGGTCGTCGTCAATGACAACCTTGCTCGTGTCGAGGCCGCGCATCTCGCTCGCCGTTCGCAGCGCGGTGCTCGACTCGGTCATGGCTTCTTGGCGTCTATTAGCTGGAGGCTTTGTTTCTGTGGGCTTCCCGTCGCTACGCTTGGGGCGTATCGGAGAGCAAGATGAGTAGATGACACTTGCGCGGACAGATTTCTTTTCGTGTCGTGCGACCGCCTTGTAAAATTCTTTTCGAGGGTTTGCTCCACAAGTTCCCCCTTGTGGAGCTGTTTCTTGTGACACATCGTGTTCTCGTTTTTATCCTCTTCCTCTGCGCGAGCGCGGGTGGCCCCCTCCCCGCCCTTGGCCGCCGGGCGGACCGGGCCGCGGCTTGGCGCGGCGAGCGAGGCCGATCACGGGGATGGGGGCCGGTGAGGATGGATAGCGTTCGTGTTGTTGGGCTCATGAACGGGAGGGAGGGCGGCACCCCCCGTTGGCGCTCCGGCCGGTGTGCGCTTGGGCACGTGGAGTTTGGATTCGGGTACTTTGATGGTATGGTATCTGTGCATAAATGGAGTATGCACTTTCACACCCCTTGGGGTGTTGACGACCACTTGCGGTCATTACGCACTTGTGCGTTCACGCCCCTTGCGGCGATCGTTTCACAGTGTCCCATCGACTGTTCAAGCATCAAGGAAAAACGCGACACACCCTCTCTGGGTAATTTGCGGACGGAGCCAGCCCTCTTGTGGCTTCGACTCTACACGCTATTTCGACAAGAGTCCTGGACATGTCTATCAGAACTTCCCTGGGGTTGGGAGCCGCTAAACATAATTCCCCGGGGCGGTCGCCGCTGCCGCCCCCGGGGCGTCGCCGCTGCCGCCCCCACAAGGCGGTTTCGGCAAGTTTCATTATGAGTCGCCAGTTCGAACTATGAGTTTCGACTCTCGGGGCCGCAGCCGTTGCTGCCCCCGTCCCCCCCTCGGGTTCGTCAAGCGCCCCCGTTCAAGTTTCGGGCGCTTATACCTAAGTGAGAGTGTGAACGGGACTACGCCCCTCCCTGAGAACGAGCAGTTCCTCTCTCTTTCGAGCCCTAAAAGTAAAAAGGCGGGTATAGGTGTAGAACCCACAAGCGGAGGCTGCCGTGGGCCGTGGCGCGAGATGCAGATCCCAAACAACTCTATTCTCTCTCTCTCTGGGGTGCAGAGTGGAGGAGTGCAAAGGAGGCAATCGCGGATGCAGCGGGCACGCGAGGTGCCGGCGAGAACGGGAACGGCAACTTCCATATGTTTGCAGAGGCAGCTGCGGCGGCACGAGCGGCCGCTGCGAGAGAAAAAGGACGGTGAACCGCCTTTCTTTTTTCGCCGCCAATGCCTGGTTGTCACCTCTCCTGCCACCTGCGAGCTCCCCACTCTTTCTTTCGGGTATGGAGTCCGTGAGTGCGGGCAGCGTGCAGGCAATCACGGGCGCTATTCTGTCGTACTCCTCTTCGGCGATCGCTCCAAATCTAAGGGACAAGGAAAAGAAAGAAAGAAAGAAAACAGAGAACCCAAACGAGGGATAGGGAGGAGGACAGGCACAGGGTCCACACCTGCACGAGCAGGAACACATTTCTTGTTGGCTTCTAAAAATCTCTCTCTCCGAGCAGGAACCAGGATTTTGGAAGGACGATCAGGGACAGGTGGGCTCCCTGCTCCTGACAAGGGACACGGATAATGAGAACAGGAAGAATTTTCTCACCTTTTTTTTCGCCGCCAAGTACAATGGCTCGGCGCGCCGCCGTGCTCTCTTTCGGTCTCCTCGCCTGAGCGCTGGCTCGCGCTTACTCCACAAGCTCACCCATGCCCATCACCGACAACCACAAAGTGCTAGCGGACCAGGTGAGCGCTCTGGCCAAGCGCGCCAACGAGGCGGGTGCCGTGGCGAGCGCGGCCGCTCTCTTTGAGGCGGCGCACGCTCTCTCCAACGACTGGACGAGCCGCGTCTCGGCCGCAAACATGCGGCTCAAGCTCGGCGACGCGGCAGCGGCCTGCGCCGCGTACGAGAGCATGCTCTGCGACGACGGCGGCTCAGCGATGCCCGACCGGATCAGGCAGCTCACCGAGCGCAAACGCGAGGAGGCGCTCTCGGCGCTGGCTGAGGCGGAGCGGGGACAGAGCTCACGAGCATCGTTCTGGGCCACGCTGGGCGGTGAGGGCGGCGGCGGCATCGCGGCGAGGACGACGACAGTGGCGCAGCGACGGATCGAGGCCCGCTGGCGGGAGTCGGAGCCGGCCGCGGCGCCCGCCACCGCCGACGCGCTGAAGGCGGCAGGCAACGCGAGGAACCAGGCCGGCGACGCCGCGGTCGCGAAGCTGCTCTACTCCGCGGCGTACGCCCTCTCGGGCCGGCTCGAGCTGCGCCTGTCTGCGGCCAACATGGAGCTCAAGGAGGGCGGCCCCGCACACGCCGCCGCGGCGCTTGACGAGTACGATCGCATCGCCGCCGAGGCGACGCTTCCGAGACACGTCCGAGACTTCCAAGACACCTCCGAGACACATCGCATCGCCGCCGAGGCGACGCTTCCGAGACACCCCCGAGACGAGATCCAGCTTGCCCCGCAGACATGCCACACCCGCCACACGGCCGCTGCTCTGGCAGCCGCTCCGCTTGCATCGCCACCGCCCACCGCCCACCGCCCGCGCCCCACCAACACGCCCGCCGAGGCAGAGGCCGTCGGCGGCCTCTGCTCCCTGGTCCCCTATCCCGGAGCTTTACCGGAACCGTCCCGTAGGCGGAGGCCGTCGGCCGGCCTCTGTCCCAGGCGCACACCTCCCTCCTCACGAGGAAGCGAGCCGAGGCAGCGGCGCAGATTCGACCGGCGGCGGCAGCGTCCGCCGTGGACGTCTCGACCACTGCCGCCGCCGCTGCTGACGCCGTTGCCGCCGTCGACGCCGCAGCCGCTGACGCCGCAGCCGCCGCCGCTCCAGCCGACGACCCCGCCACCGCCGCCGTTGCCGCCGACGCCGCTGCCGCCGCCGCTGCCGATGCAGCCGCCGCGCTGCAGACGCCCCCGCGCGGGCCGCTGCGTCGGTACTCGACAGCGGGCTCCTCGGTCGACTGGGGCGAGCAGGAGGCGCGCGCCGAGGAGGAGGCGGCACCCCTCCCTTCCTGGCGGGACCCTTGTCCGGACCCTTCTCGGACCCTTCCTGCAGGAGCGCGCCGAGGAGCAGGCGGCGCGGGTGGAGATGGCGGCGCGCGCGTCGCTGGGCGAGGAGGCCCCCGCGCCCGTCTCGCCGGTGGAGAGCAAGACGAGACGAGACGAGAGGCGAGATTTGCTCCGCCAGAAGAGAGACGGCCGTGATTAGGCTTCGCCGCTAGAAAGCTTGCGCAGCAGCGAGAGCATTCGCAGCAGCGAGAGCGTCGCCAGCGCGTCGGCCTCAGAGATCAGCGCGGCCGAAGCGAGCGAGGCGAGGCTGGCGGCGGAGGCGGCCGAGGCGGCGGCGGTGGCAGAGGCGGAGGCGGCGAAGGCGGCGGCGGCGGCAGCAGTTGCTGCTGCTGCGGCGGCGGCGGAGGAGGAACGGGCGGCGGAGCGGGCGGCGGCGGAGGCGGCGCGGCGTGCGGCGGCGGAGCGGCACCTCGAGTACATTGTGTCGGACGAGGCCGCGGCACGGGAGGCGGCGGAGGCGGCGGAGGCGGCGATTCGAACGAGGGAGCGCGCGGCGGCGAGGGCAAGGGAGGAGTCGGAGGCGCGGCTCCGCAGGAGCGTGTTGCGGCACAGATAAGCACACCGGCTGCACACCGGCTGCACCTCGGCTGCACACCGGCTGCACCTCGGCTGCACACCGGCTGCACCTCGGCTGTATCTCGCGCGACTCTCCCCGCAGGATCCTGCCTCGCGCGTCGGCGGCGCGGCGGGCGGCGGCGGAGGCGGACGAGGAGGAGGCGCGCAAGACGGCGCGCAAGACAGAGGCGGAGGCGGCGCAGCGGCGCGCAAGGGAGGAGCGGGCGGCGGCGGTCGGCCAGGCGGCGGCGGTCAGTGCGGCGGTTGCGGCGGCGCGGCTCGAGACGGAGGCGGCGCGGCGCGCCGAGGAGGAGCAGGCGGCCGCACAGGCGGAGTCTGCGCGGAGGACGACGGAGGCGACCGAGGCGGAGGTGCGGAGGGCGACGGCGGTCGCGCTGCTGGCAAACGGCCGGATCGGGGAGGCGGAGGCGGCGGCGGAGGCGGCGGGGCTAGGATCGAAGGTGCCGGCTCGGCGTGCCATCTCGGAGGGGGAGGGGGAGGGGGAGGAGGAGGACGCGGTGGCGGACGAGGTTCTGTCGCCGTTTTCCCGCGGCACGCTGCACGCGCTGGAGAGGCTCAACACGGCGCTGCAAGACTCGCCCCGCAGCTCATTCGCGCCGCCGGCAGGCCCCGCACGCACGCAATCACAAGAGGCGCTCAGCGCCGCAGAGGCGGCGATGGAGAGGCTCAATGCGATGCTCGAGGCGGACCCACGCAACCCTCGGGGCGGGAGGCGGGTGCGATAGCGTGTGCCGTGTAAGAAGTTGCCGTGTCTCGTTTATACGTAGGGAGCTATGGAGAGAGGTAATCCTATGATATGTCTGTCATGTGTCTCTCATCATCATCATGTCGGCATACACAAGTCTAGTTCACGGTGCGTACAGGTAGGTCAGGTACACAAAAAACACATACCTCGAGGTACACAAGAGAGACAAGTCGGTGCGGACTCGTGTTGAACACGTGAGTTGTGTCAAAACTAGAACTACAGATCCTCAGCCTCGACCTCGGCCTGCTCGCGCGCACGCTCGAGGGGCGGGAGCCGCTAAGCCTCGAGGAGGGCATCGAGCTCGGCCTTGATCGCGCGGCGCTGCTCAGCTCCGTACCGCCACTTTTTGGTGAACTTGACCCACTCCTCGTCGGCGCCCGCGGCTGGCTGGTCGTCCGCTGCCCACGGCTCGCACGCCGTGCGCAGCCGCCTCACCTCGGCGTCGAGGCCGCCCATGCGAGGGAGCAGCGCCTCCAGCAGCGCCCTGCTGCGGTCGCGAGTGAGGCGAGACGCCGCCGCCAGCTCGTCGCTCCCGTTGTCGATGTGGACCTGCTCGGTCGCGGTCGACATCGCCACATTCATCGTCAGCAGCTTCAGATTCGGGTCGGGCGACGCCTCGATGGCAGAGAGGAGCTGCGGGTCGAGGGGCGGGCAGAAGACGGCGTCGTACGCGGGGTCGGTGAGCAGCGTCACGAACCACCCTCTAGCGCCCGACGTGGTGGAGATGAGCGCTCGCAGCACCTCGACCGCCTCGGCCGGCATCTCCTCGCCCGCGGCGCACGAATCGGCGAGGATGGTAGCCAACCGCCTCCCGAGGACCTGCGCGTCCTCAAACGAGGCGGTCGCTGCGCTCTTCTTGCTCCCCTCGAGGTCAGCGCGGATACGCGCCTCCTGCTCACCGGCGGCCGTGGATAGCAGCGGCGCAGGCGCGCGCGCAGTGAGAGCGGGGTTAGGCGAAAAAGCCCTGGGCGATGTGACGATCAGACCAGGGCACGCCAGCAATGCCAGGACAGCAGCGACCATCCTCCGGCAAGAGTTTTACGAAAGCAAGAAAAACGACGCCGCGATGGCCAATGAATGTTTTTCCCCATTTTCGGTCATCCGTCAAAATATCTGAAGATCTGAATGGCGGATTCTCCCCAAACCTTGCTCAGCTGATCCAGCCTGGGGGAAAGGCCAGCCCTGGGCAAAGAAACCAGCGCCTCATCAGGCTTCCCTGAGCGTCACAGCTCGGTGATCGCGCCGGCCGGACACCACTGTAACGTCCGTTCCGGGCATTTGAACGCGACCTTCGGGGGCAAAGACATGGGCTCTATGGCTCAGACTGGACTCCTCTTGGTCCCTTCTGATGCCCTAGGCCACACCTGGGCCTTACCCGGGGTTCTAGGGGGCGGGCTGGGTTTGCCCCCCCCAACTGGCCCGAGGCACCTTAAAAAGAGCCGAGAAAAAAATTCGGCAGCCGCTAGCGGGGTACTTCCAGCCTGCTGTGGGAACAGCTGACGCAGTCTCGCCGAGGCTCTCGGGTTGACTCGGCCAGACAAAAACCCGGAGAGGCGTGGGAGTACCTCGCCAGGGCAGCCGCGGGTGATGCTCAAGCTCATCCTTAGCTTACTCAGTCCGGCCGCCGCTGTGAGGCTAGTCACTACCACGTCACTGCCGGCCGTCTCCCCGGAGCGTGCCATTCGCTTCCTCTCGACTCCATCAAACTGGCCGATTATCGTGCTCTCCTCGTGGGCGGTACGCGGCACTGACATCGACCGGCCGCTTGCGCCCGGAGAGGCGGTCGACGAAATATTCGGCTTGCCGCCGCTGCTGCCGCTCGAGGTGTCTTGGACCTGCACGTCCATCGGCGAGTCCACCGCGGTGTTTGACTCTCCCTCTGGCCTCGCGGGCGTCGCAGAGAACTGCCAGATGGACTTTGTGGCGGAGAAGGACGGCGCCGGAGGCTCACTGCTGCGGTTCGCTATGTCGTATGAACCTCTCAGCCCGCTCGCAAATGCCGCGGTGCCTCTCCTCACGCTGGACAATGCCATCGCGCTGAAGCTGCTGCTGCCGGCCAGGCTGAGGCCGCCCGGCTCCTCGGACCCGGCCGGGGGGCCGCTGGCCGCCCTCGCGCGCCGCGCCGGCCTGCTGCCGGACCAAGACGGCAAGACCTAGCTGAGGCGCTCTAATCCGATCACTACACATAGCACAGCGGCCGGCGTCTCCGCGCCTGGACTTTCATGCGCCCGAGCTGGTTGATTCGGCGACGCTCGCATTCGCCTGGGCGGCCGCAACCTGGTGCGTGGCGTGGCCACACTACAGGAAATGGGAAGAGAAGCCGCTGGATGGCAGATCCCATCTCGGTGTGAGCTCAAAAAAATAGCGCGCTCTCGCTCCTCTCTCTCTCTGTCTCTCTCTCGCCTTCACCACACACTACTCGCAAGCATCTGCAAGCCCAAGGGCTCTCATACGTCATAGCGCGCTCTCTCGCCTCTCTTTGCCCCCAGAGTTTGCCGCGCCTCGCGTCTGCGCCGCCCAACGCCCCGAATCGAGACACGTCCCGCCGGCGGCCGCACCCGCCTCCGCCCTTGCCCCACCTCCCTTCTCCTCCAGGGGCGCTCTCTTCACTGCATGGGGAGCGAGTTGTAGATCGGGAGGGCCACCGAGTTGGGGCAGCGCAAGTGCAGCGCCTGGACGTTGCCCCACTTGCCCGGCAGCAGCGCGGCAACCTGCGGCGGAGGAAGGGGGGAGGGGGGAGGGAGGGCTCGGAGAGCGGTCGCGACGGTCGCGGCGACACCGCGGCCGCAGGGAGGACTACGTGGCGGGCGGGAAGCGAGGCGGCGGAGAGGAGGGAGGGGGAGAGAGACGGCGGGGAGGAAGCGAGGCGGCTGGGCACCGCATCGACGGCGGCGAGCACATTCTCGGCCGCGGCGGCGGGCGACATCGACGTCGCGGCGACGGTGACGGTGGAGCAGGTGCCAAAGGTTGGTCGCACGATTGCGCCGCCGACCGCCCGCTGCAGCGCGTCGCGTAGCCCCTCCTTGCGGCCGAGTCGCATCGGCAGCGGCAGCTTGTTCGACTTGTAGAAGCCGTTGCCGAGGAGCTTGGGGAGGAGGGGGGTGACGGCTTCGTCGGCGGCGAAGAAGTCGTACCTGCGGGGGGAGATATGGGGAGATATGGGGAGATAGAAGAAGTCGTACCTGCATGGGGGCGCGTGTCGGACGGCGTCATGGCCCCGCGCCCTGAGGAGGAGGAGTCAAGAGAGAAGGGGTGGGGGAGGAGGAGAGAGAGCAGGCAGAGAGGAGAGAGAGGAGAGAGGAGAGAGGAGAGAGGAGAGAGGAGAGAGAGGAGAGAGGGGAGGGAGGAAGAGAGAGAGAGAGAGAGAGAGAGAGAGAGAGAGAGAGAGAGAGAGAGAGAGAGCGAAGGAGAGAGGGAGAGAGAGAGAGAGAGAGAGCGGGAGCGCTGCACCCCGCGCGCAGTTGCCGCTTCGCCTCGTACGGAACATACCTGTGCGGGACGCGCGCAGGGGACATGTGCATGACGTGTCCGGGGCAGCGGCCACCTTGCCCTCGCGCGGAGGAAGCACTTCTTCCGCAGCTTGTCGATGCCGATCACCTTTGCTGTCACGCCCTCGGCCGCGCACGCGTCCTGCAGGGGAAGGTTCCGAGAAGGTTCCGAGAAGGTTCCGAGGAGGCCCCGAGGAGGCGCCGAGGTCGCGTCCATGACGGCAGCGCGCGCGCACCTTGACGGCGCGCTGCGGGTCCTTGACGATGAGGCAGACCTAGAAGGTTCCTAGAAGGTTCGTAGAAGGTTCCTGCTGCGGGTCCTTGACGAGGAGGCAGACCTCGGTCTCGTCGAGCGAGCGCCTGGCAGGGAGGGTAAGGACCGAGAAGGGTGTGGGGGAAGGGTGTGGGAA